TTTTCATCCCCATCTCCACTTTCATTTTCATCCCCATCTCCACTTTCATTTTCATCCCCATCTCCATTTCACATCCATCTTCACATCCACATCCATTCTCTTTCTCTTTTTTCCATCACCACTTTCATCCTCATGATTTCTCATCCTTCCAACCGCTTTTTATTTTCCTTTGTTGAGGTTTATGCTAGTCTTTTGTAAGTGTCAGGTAAATAATCAATCAAATATATTATTTATTTAACAATAATTGATCAATTTATTGTAACATAGTGTTAATCATTATATTCCTTCATTTTGAAGTTAGGACGACTTTTAATTTGTGTGGGCGCACATTAATCTCAAAAACAGCCATAAAAAAAATTCTTGATTAGAGAGGAAGTACAAAGAAAAAGTGCTAAGTGATGAGGAGAGGCAGTTTTGGTGTTTGTGATTTTATCCAGATAGTTTGTGGTAATTAAAAAACTTATCAATTTATTGATACTTTGCTGATTTGTATTGTATATTGTTATACCCGTTGTTATAACACTATCAATCCTATCTTCTTCATTATTATTCTCTCCTTTATCATTTTTGTCCTCTCCTTTATCATTTTTGTTGTCATTACATTTTCTTCTTCTTTCAATAGCTCTTTTACTTACTTGGTGTGGAAGGCAGAAGACTTACGGTACAGACTGGATGAAGGTTTGGTAGTGAAGTGGACTAAATTTAAATTTAGTGGCAGTAGTTATTTTAAAAATTAATTAGAAAAAAAAAAGAAAATAGAAAAAAATAAAAATATAGTATATTTAATATTAGAATTAGAATTAAAGTTAGTATTGGTATTAGAATTAGAATTAGAATTAAAGTTAGTATTAGTATTAGAATTAAAATTAAAGTTAGTATTAGAATTGGAATTAGAATTAGAATTAGAATTAGAATTAGAATTAGAATTAATTTAATTTCGTGTAATAATAATATATGTAAAATAGTATTAGTAGAATTAGTCTTAAGTTAAATTTCTTTAATACTAATTAATTAGTGCCTTTAGTCCGCTTCTTAAGAAACTACCATAGATATGGCTATTTTACTGTTATCATTATTATATTAGTTGTTAGATTAGCTAATAGATTAGTTGGATAATCATGTTAATAAAATTATTATTGTTGTTCACATTAGAACTATAAAAAAAACTGACATTTAATCGTGTAATGAATATTTTGACTTTTTAATAACTCCATAACGATTTTTGGGAAATTTCTAGCATGAGTTTTAAAAAATTATATACATAATAATATTCAATGAAATAATTTTCACGAATTTCTATTAGAAGCAAAGGAATTTAAATAGTAACTTCGCTTTATTAAAAAAAAACTTTTTTCCAATACAATCGTAGATGAGACTCTACCATTAGATGTAAAATCAAGCATAGATTGTTGTTTAAACATGTGGCATTCTAATACATCAATACTTAAAGAGGTATTCTTTATGGAATTATTAAACTATTTTTATATACAATTTAATTACAGGTAAGTAATTTCTTGCTCTATTATGAATAAAGGCTATTGTTTATATTACAAATTTAAGAAAGACTCCAGGTAGATATAACGTTCTTATTCATATCTATCTATCAATACTTGTTTTTATTAATAGTTATATATTCAATTAATTATCCGAGTACAATATAATATGATGAATGGACATGGATATACTGACAAATATTAATAATAAATATTATTGCTTATAATCAATTCATAAATAGAACATTTATGCAAATTTCTTTGATTTAACTTTCTTTCTCTAACGTAATGGCATCAAATATAATAATGGCAAATTAAAAGCGGTAGTAGCATTCACCGTGGCAGTGGCAGTAGAACAAGAATAAGATGACAGTGGTAGTGGTAGCGGTAGTGGTAATATAGGAATAAACTCTCGTGTATATATATTTATTTCCAGATTAAATTTTTTGTTCATTATGACTAACGTTACACGTTCATATAAATCTTGATTTTCCCTGAAATTTTGGTAAAAATCTAAATTTTATTTGTCAAACTTCCAAGAAAATTCAGTATTTAATTTTTATCATTATTATTTGTTTGAAAATTTCAAAGAGAAGAAAATACGGCATTTGATTATCATAATTGAAGCAACATCCGATTTTGGTAAGTTTTTTGCTGATAAAGTTCAATGACTATTTTAGATATAACATAGGCTTTTTATTATAAGTTGTGTATACGTAGGCAACCCGTTAGTCCGAACCCTGTTAATCCGAAAATCCCGTTAAATGAATAATTTTTAAAAAATCAATGTAAATTACCCCGTTAATATGAATGTCACTAATGAAAACATTATAAAGCCATTTATATGTAAAATTGCCCCATTAATCCGAATTTTTATAAACCAAAGATTAATTTTTATAAAAACAAAGTGAAATAAAAATTGGCCAATAATAATAATATACAAGTTATGCAAACAAGAGGAAAAAAAATCTACTGAAAAAGAAGTCGGGGTATCAAAAAGAAAACATACGCACATTACTATAACAATCTCATAAAAAATAGAAATATGCATTGAAAAAAATAAAGACCCAAACATAAAAAATAACCAGCTTGCATCTAAATATAATGTAATCGATTCTATTCATGATCATATTGGTAAAAATCGCTACAAAAAACTAATGAAACAGTCACTGGCGAGGTGCCAAAATTAAAGCAGATTTTTTGCTGCAAGTAGTCAATAATTAATGATAATATTTCAATGAATTAATTATATCCTCTCATATTATCTATTAGTTAGTAGTTCACCAAGCAATCAAACTCGACATACACATCAATGGTCTGAATAATCCTTGCCGTTGGCAATGACATTTTCTGAAGAGGTTAGAAGTTATGTTTAAGATTTCACGCCAAGTGTATCATGCTTTCGAAAGAAGACAAGGATAAAAAAGACGTGGAGATATCAGTAGCAGATTACAAGCAAAAGTGTCACGTTTCATGATTCTGAAGATTTGTATGTTGATGAGAAGCAAAAAGCTATTATTGCAAATAGGCATTCTTAAATCCAAGGAATTTATCATCATCATCCAATAGCACAAATAAAGAACATAAAAGTTGCCTCCATCACTAAAAGATTGAAGGGTATGGAATCAAGATTATTTCACAGTTTATTATCATCATCATCATCATCATCATCAACTACAACAAATTCCATGGATATCTTCGGCATTATCTTCTTCCTTGTCAACTTTCTCTTCACAAACACGTTTGATGTTGTCTTCCTCCGTTTATCAACAGCAACAATGGAAGCAACAGGTAGAAGTGGTAAAAGATCCTGATTATAATGAATAGATGTTGCCGTTACTAATATCAACGATAAAAAGGTTTCAACTGAAAATAAACAAACATGAAATAAAATAAAAAAAAGAACAGAAAATAAAATTTAACAACTGAAAACGTTGATAAAACAAACATGAAGATGATGACCAAAATCTTTTATGAAAGAAAATGTTCAAATAAAGAAGGTCCTATATACGATCTTGATGAAATACGAAGATTGTTCCAAGAAATAAAACCAAGCTTGAAGGGGTTTTTTGACCAACTCTATTTAGCA